AAGTGACTATGTAGCCTGTACTGAGGATTATCCAGTCAACCAAGTAATAAACCTGGGCAGGGGCAACAATGTTCCAGTGTATGTAGGAAGTGATACCATTCAGACTCAAGCAAAGTCCAGAAGACCCATGTAAATTAGCCTTCTGTGTTACTTATCTCTGTTGCACCAATGACCACACTGATGACCTCACTGGGTGTTCCTTATGACCAATCGACCTATGCCTGGCTCACATGTCGGCTAGTGCAATCTATATGGAACTAGCCATAAATGGACTGTTGTCACATAATAGCTCCACTTAGAATTGATCCTGAATGACACCAGTGCAAGGAAATCTTCCTAGTGCACAGAGTTATGAGATATGTGTTTAATTTTTCAATTCATGTAAAAGGAGAGGTAGCCGAGTTACAGTTATATATTGAGTCCTGGGCAGAGCCAAAAGTCTATATTGGTTGATCAGGCCCTTAAAAGAAGTAAGAGCAGAAGACAAGTAACATGGAGGTCTGGGTGGGTATTATGCAGATGAACACTGTAAGAGAAGGCACAATACATGCAATTTCCTTGTCTCACATTAATGCTTACAAGAGAACCATATATACAGAGGAGACTCTTGACAATCAAGTACACAAAGAGATGGTCCTATGGATTTTAGCCAGCCTTTCTATGAACCACTTCAGTACTTGACATTGAGAACATGAAAAAAGCCATGGTAGCAGGGATGAAGGCTATGCATGGACCCAACATGAGCTTTCTCTTACCAGGGGCAAGTTTATTGGACTGGTCTCAAAGTCTGTCATTGAGTGTGTGTGTAATAAAAGACTCTTTTTTTTTTTAAATTTGCACCAATAACTTTATTGATTTGAGCATTTTGAGTATGTCAGCTATCCCTCACTATTGGCTCGTAGTGTGTAGAGGCCAGGGGTGCCACCAAACATCTTCCAACACATCAGAGAGCCCCTCAGCAAAGAATCACTTGACCAAAATGACAATACTACCAAAAACCTTTGCAAACTACTTTTGATATGTTTGGTCACAGCACCTTCTCCATACATTGCACAAATCTTTTTTTTCCTTTTTTGCATTTTTACCTTTCTTGAAATAATAAAGCATAATACACCAAAAGTGTATCTTCTTCCATCTTCAATGTTAAAACACTGCACAATTCACCTATTTTGATAATTTTTTTAAAAAATGCACGCTGACATGACAGCTGTCACAATACAATCTAACAAAATTGTTTTGAATGAAGTTAAAGACAACTAAGCACTACTAGAGCCATCTTACAGAAAAAAACGTAAAGACTTTTTGGCCAACGCAATGCTAAACTGCCCCTACTGACTGCCCACCTAGCCAGAAGCAGACTGATGTCTTTCCATTTATTTAGGATTCCTTTCTTCCAGAAATGTTTTGTAGTTTTCAGTGTACAAGTTTTGCACTTTTTTGGTTAAATTTATTCTTAAGCATTTTATTCTTTTTGATGCTATTGTAAATGGAATGTTTAAATTTCATTTTCAGATTGTTCATTGTTACACAAATAACTTTTTTTGTATTGATTTTTGTGCCCTGCAACACTGCCGAATTCAATTAGCCCTAATAATTTTATTATTCTTTAGGATTTTCTATATCGTGCCATCTTGAACATAATTTTGTTTTTCTTTCCAATTTGAATGACCTGATTTTTTTTAAAGCTTTATTTATTTTTAGACAGAGGGAAAAGGAGAAAGAGAGGGAGAGAAACATCAATATGTGGTTGCCTCTTCCGCACCCCCTACTGGGGACCTGGCCCGCAACCCAGGCATGTACCCTGACTGGGAATTGAACCAGTGATACTTTCGTTTGCAGGGCCGGCGCTTAGTCCACTGAGCTACAACAGCCAGGGTTGATGTTTTTAAAAGTCTAAAATATTTGTAAGACAGATGGCTACCGCTCACTGTGATGTTTCCTTGTACTCACCCCCCACCCCCAACTGTGAGTTTTTAGTTATTTGCCCCTGCCAGCTCCTGGTTGTTCTGATTGGGAACTACTTCAAAAATTAAATCACCTGTGTCAATTTTCCGGGACCACCTATGCAGTAAGTTTAGGGATGCAAATCTTCACAAAGGCCAAACCATTATTACATATTTTGAAAGTGAATATTCTCCTATCACTAATATTCAAAGCATGCAGACTCTGCATTTTATGTATTAGGGATGGGTTTCTCCTTTTTTGACCCCAGTCTTTGGATACATTCTGGGCTTTACCAGGGTCAGAAAAATTAAAATGATTCACTTGGTTTGTTTCGTTTTTGTTTTTTTGTTTTTTAGCATTTTCAATATGAAAGTTGGCTTGTTATATTCTGCTTCCTCTTTGGGTTCCTGGTTTCAATTTATTTTCGGCTTGACAGTACTCCTATTATTGACACATTCTAAAAAGATTTTCCCAGCATGCTTAGTTCCTTTTTCACAGGAGAGTTGGCCAGGGTAATCATCCATATTGAAAGAAACAGAAATGTCCATCTACTCACCATGACAGTATTTTACTCGTAGTAGTCAGAAGTATAGAATGTTCCACGTATTTTCTATAGTATATTGCAGTTTTAAGAAACACATTTGGCAGTCTACTATTTAGCTCATAGTCATTATTAAATATGTAACCACTATAGCAATGTGCCAGGCAGACATCTAGCCAGAGGGATATAGCAGAACACAGATTAAATTCCAGTTCTTGAGAGTTTACATTCTCCGGTAGAGTTGAAGAAACAAATACTACGTGTAAGGTGGCTAATACTTAGTATGCCGTTGTGCATGCTATAATGGTGCTGCTGTCAGCATTTTATGTAAAATGGTCAAAAACAACTCTAAGTTGACATTTGAACAAATCTAACAAAAGGAAAGAGGTAAGATCTGAGGTAAGATCATTCTAGTCAAGGGAAAAACAAGGGCAAACACCTTTAGTCTCAGCAGAGGCCTGTGCAAACTTAACTGAGGAAGCCATGGGCGCAAACAAGTGATTAGAAATGAAATATTGAGGCAGTGGGACAAGTCAATACAGTCTGTAAACTGCTTTCAGCCTTTTGGCTATTACTCAAAATGAGATCAGAAACCATTAGGTGTGGAGCCAAGAGATGACATGGTTATGATGTGGTTCAAAAAGGTTATGCTGGGTATTGTGTGTGGGAGATTGCTGCAAAGTAGAAAGCCAGGTCGTCATTCAGGAAGCTGTTGTAATAAAGGAAGAGATGGTGGAGCTTTATACCATTGTAGCAGCAGTGTGTATGGTGAACAGGTAGATTCTGAATAAAATTTAAAAGAACCCATAGGATTGGTATTTAATTTGGAAGTGTGAGAAATTAAGATTGATGCCTCGGTTTGGGGACAGTGCAACTGAGTCTCTGCATTTACTGAAGCCAAGAACAGGTATCTGTGTGTGTACATCACATCTGTGTGTAGAAATCAAGGCAGTTTTAGACGACTTAAAGTTACCCCTTTAGGTAGCCAGGTTGATAATGAATAGGGAACGATTCAGGAGATGGCTGGGACGTCAGTAGATGACTGTTTAAACTCTCTTCTTACATTAACTAGGGCATTAAAGCCCTCACGTTGTTTGGCCTTACTTTACACTTAAATCTGGTATGTAAAATTGAAAATGGTATTTCGTAAAACTTTTCTACAGTACAGGAAAAAAAAATTGAGGGTTGAAATTTTTGAGATTCATCCAGAAAGTGTACAACTTGGAGATAATTATCAGAAACACTGTGTACTCAAGTTTTTCAAAATGAGGCAAGATAGTAGTAGTTACAATAAAGAGAATCCAAGTGATGATTACTAGGGTCCTAAAGAAAATAAAATGTTCAGCTAACCCGTATCTTTCCAGCCTTTCTAGACTTTAGTTTTGATCTGTTTCTCCGAAACTTTTTTTGCGGGGGGTTGGAGGGCTGTCTCATTCTTTTAAATCCTGTTCCCAAATACCTTTACCATTTATTTTTTCCATTACTCCGAGTAGAAAAGTTTTATTAGCTGCCTTAGACTATATATATTTTCAGCAACACTGCAAAGACTCCAACCATAACATCCTTTCCACCAAAACAAAAACAAAAAAACTAATAAAATTGGAAAAGGTAAGACCACAGAAAGAGACCAGGGTTCAAATCCTTGTTCAGCCAGTCTACATTTAGCAGACATTTGTACCTACTCTTGGACATTGGTTGAGTAACACATGTACCTGAAAAAAAAAACAAAAAAAAACTGACACGAACTCAAATGTCAGTGTTCAGCTATTACTCAATTAGTAAATCATAGGATATTGTTATCTCAAATGTGTAAATCAACCTACAGTATTATTTATAATTCAAAGTGCTACATCCTTGTCAATTATATGGAAATGTAGTACTTGGGCATACAATGTAAACAAGTTATAATAAAACAGCAAGACATAGAAATAACTCTAGGGTCTGAAGATTACTGTACTGTTACAAAGGAGAGTAGCTAGAATTAATCTAGTTGGCTTCAGACACACTGGGTGCCACACCATAGTTTCTGAACCGGTAGTAGTCCTACAGTGGGGTCTGATTCTTTCCATTGCAAAGAACTTCCCAAATGATACTGACTGGTCTTAAGACCACTTTTGAGAACCACTGTCCTGATTTCTCAAGTTTTAAGTCCTAAATTCAACAGAATTTACAAACAGTATTAAAAGTGGACTTCACATTAGCTGGAATTACTGAGTAAGACCAGTGTCTTTAAACAGGCTTTAATGGTAACAATTCCTTTAAGCTCAACCTTAGCTATTACAAGTGTTACGCGGATGTTACTAGACATTTAGTGACCTGCACTGGGTTCCTCATAAAATAGAAGACATTCACTTAGAAGTATAACCAACAATCATTCAAGTTTTGTTATGCCAATACAAAACATGGCTAATTTGAGTCCCCCTCCCCACCCCCCACAATCAGTAACACAGCATAATCAATATCTGAAGCATATTTCAACTAAGCTTAAAAAAAAAAAGAGTATTCACTACCCCTGAGACTGCTAGTTAATTGTGGTTCATACTTTAAAAAGAAAAAAGTGAGTACACCCACACAAGAAAGCACACTAGTGTCTTGTTTTTCTTAAATCTGATGATCACATTGCAAACTTGCCCAGGAACAGAAATGAGCCACTTACATAATTTACCAGTAATAACTGGACTATAACTCTTAATACGTTAATAGAAACTAAGTATTTGAGTTTGTGCATTAAAAGATACAGGAAATATATATGAAGACCAAAATCAATTTTTAATCTGCCAATATTCACTAGAGTCCTACACGTGGCACTAGTAATGTGTATGGGAAAAGGCAAGTTCTTAGATTCTTCTGAAGGTTTCATTGGTGATGATCTCAAGTCCAGTGTCCATATATTTAAAAATGTTGGCTTTCCAGGTACTTTACTATTCTCTTAAAATCTGGTGAAGCCTTTATGGCTTATCCCTTAGAAGTGACACAAATATGTTGTATAAAGCATCATCACAGAGAACTGGACACATCACTTAAACCATCAGTGGTTGAAGGAACTCATCTCTTCAAATACTTGAGTGTCTATGGCTAAAAAGATCAATTTGAAAGCCAATTAGTCATCCAGAAGCTCTGAGAAGTGTTTTACTGATGTTCAATATGCCCACTAAAGCTGTTATTTTTATGATTCTCAGAACTAATTATTCTGAAATTAGAGCTAAAGAATAGTATTTCTTAGTAGCTTGTAGTAAAATATGTTACTTTCTCACTTGTAATTTGAATCCAAAAGTTTTAACAGTATGACATCTACTCTTAAGGAGTCATTATTTAAGCAAAAAAATGAAAAAAACAAGAAAACCCCTCACTCATTGGAAAATTGTATAGTTGGATTTTTTCTCAATGAAATGCTTATTACATAATTAACAAAGCCAGAACATTTTTGGAAGGCATGCATTTCACTTCCAGTTTAGAGAACCTTAGTCAATAAATCATGTCCAAACTACATATTAAAATGTTTATAAAAATCAAGCTTAAACATTTATTTTATATCTAGCTTTCCACATCTGTGCAGACAAGGAATAAGATTGCACATAAGGTAAGCAGTGCAAAAATGTGGAAGTGGAGAAAAGTCACAGACGTGCTACAAATTGAATACAGGATTTTAAGAAAGCAATGGACAAATAAAAATAACTAGGAAAAAAGTAAAACTATATGGTGAGAATTAGGAAGGGTGAAGAATGATAATGCCCTTGTTACTACAGAAGTTAAATTAGTGGCACACATAGCACTTGTCAAACAAAAAAATTATCCAATAGCATTGACTTTTATTCATTCATGTTAAGTCACCTGAAATGATATCTGTTGCATTTAAATGCTCATTAATGTAAATGGCTGAACAAATCCATTTCAATGGATACTCAATATCCCACATAGGTAAAAGTTACTTCAACACAGCCTCATGACAACTCCCACACCAAAACAGTACTTTATTTTGTAAATTTAAACCCATTATTATTCCCATGTTATGGTTTTTTAGCTGTCAAGTGTACAAGGTAAAGAAAAAATTTAGTTCAATGGGGGTTGCACCTGGAAAATAAATTTCCTAAACTCCATATACATGTTCGAAACTGCTGGGTCCCAAGTCCATCTATGAACTCCAGGGTTGCCGGTATCATGTGCAGCATACTAAAGCTACACTATCCAAATAGCTTATTAATTCTGCATAAATCAGGTCAATCAATGTGTCAACCTGTAACAGACTGTGCACTTTTAACTGAACATGGCAAAATATTCACTCTTTTGAACTTTACATCATCATTTGATGTCAAACAATGAAGCAAATCCCAACAGTATATACAAAAACAGTTTTGCATTTACAAAAGATTGTTTCCCATACTGATTAATCCAGGCAGCTAACTCATTGGTTTATGCAACTTTATTGAAGAAAAATAAATCAATTACTAGCAGAGCTATTAGTTGATCACTCATCCATTGACAACTTGCATCATTTATTCAGTGCTATATTAAACAGTGTATTGGAAGATAGATTAACTAATAGCTCCAAGCCTCCTAACAATTTAAATGAAAATTACAAAATGTTTGAGACCCTATTTTGGAATACAAAGGGTGTTTGACTTCCAATTTCCATTCTCTGTAGAACAAGAACAGGTCATTCCTTTATTGACATGCATAAAATACATCACATTTTCTGTTCTGCTGATGCTATAAATTCAATACCAATTCTCCAGCCACATCAGTTATGAGCATAAAGTATATCATGTAACCTCAGATCTCTAACAGTGGAAGGCTTAAACAAGAATGGATGCTGCTAGAACAATGCTGCTTCCTTTGATGCGACAACCGAGCATCCATCTCCCTCCCCCTCGGATGATTGCTTCAGCATGTTAGAGCAGTGAGGAATGGTTTTAGTCTCATAACCAAGTTAGAGTGAAGACATTGGCCACATAATACACATGCTCCATTTTTTTAAAAAAATTCTGAATCTTGGGCAACTGTTCTCTTGTAACTACTTTACAGTTTCTAAAAGCAGTTATTGTCCAAAGCTGGAAGAACTTAAGTCTTCTCAGATGAGCATGTGAATGAATGGAGGGAGGTAAACAAAAAATAAAATTAAAAAAGATGAGGTCTGATAGGGGAGCAGCCGGATAAGAAAATCAAAAAAGGAACAGTAATTTAAAGTTTATTCCAGCTATAATGCAGGTTATTCTGACTTTAAGGTAGCATCACATGGCATACTTCTGAGTCCATTCCCGAGATATTCTGTTGTACCTGTAAATGAAGAATATGTTATTTTAAAAGTTAAAATAAAAAATACTTAAAACAGAAAAACTTCTATTTTACCTCCAGACTCATCTAATGGCTATGGTTGGAATAAAGCTAATTGGGAGAACTGATGGAAAACGAGAACCTTATGCTTCCAAAAAAACACTAATAGTATTTTACCAAACACAAGACAGTGGCATTGAGATTGGGATGGCCAACAAAAATCAAAGACCTTTTATTTCCCTTACCACTGAGTTAATGTTCTTAGAAAATCTACAATTAGTATCCATTCCAATAAATTTTAACATTTAAAAAAATATTTTCCAGTGCATCACAGAGTTATGTCAGAACAGCACACACATTCTGTACATGTATAGAAATTTCCATCAAAGCTGGAACAGTTAACTAAACCACTTTTACCTGAATCTTAGACTTTTAAGAAGTTACTTGACCCTGGGTAATACTAGAAGAGATAATGCCTTTAAGACTTAGGTACAGGCAGATTAAGACATTGGGGAGGATGGTAAAAGAGTTTTCAAGAAGAGGTAGGTATGAGTGGTATGTGTTAATTAGAACCATGTGTGTTATTTTTAAATAGTTTGTTGACTGGAGAGAACAAGTCCCACTCTTGAGACGTGATGAACGGGAATTTGCAGAACAAAAACTAGAAGCATCTTCACTTAAAAAGATCAACAGGTAATTCACACACAAGCAAGGTTATTTATTACTGAGAAGGATCACTAAATGTTGATAAAGGCCATCATCTCTCTCTGTTACACCCATGCCATAGTCTTACTTACCAACAAAAAAAATATAACGATAACCATAAGAAGTTAATATACAGGGCATAGGAGAACTTTTAGATACTTATGATTTGAACTTTATAAAGTGTTAATTTCATTTCAAACCAAGAACTAAACAGAGTTCAACCACTTTTCTCAACTTTAAATATACAAGTTCTTTCTACCAATTCATGGTTACCTTTATTTAAGGATACATTTTCAAGAAGCCAGCACTTTAAAAGAAAAGGTTTCATTTAGCATACAGGGAGCCACAAAGTAGAGTTGACACTAATACATGCATGTCAGTAATGAACATTTAGTTTAGATGCTTAGGCTTAATTAATAACTTTTCCCTTACATTATTATCTTGGCAAAATTTGACCTACATCACCACATTCCATATAGTATTGGTATAAAGTTTAAAATATAATTTTAAAATTAAAATTTAAACACCTTCGAGTTTTGAGATATTAAATTTCCATTTCTTACTAGTGCTATATAACTGCTTTGTCATGCAAAAATACTCTCAAGCAACAATGACTATTGGGTATGCTTTCACACTAAACAGAGATCAAGCAGTTAAAGGAACAGTTTTCAGAAAAACTGCCACATTGGTTACCTTTTGTTAGTTAATACAATACAGTGCCTTAGAGCATGCAGCACTCAAGTGCTGGCAGTACCATGAATAAGCGCACCATAGAGTGCAGATCCTCTTACCCTACAACATAGCGTATTTCTCTGTCCACTCTCTTGCTAACCTATTGTACCTAATTGAACAAGTATACTTTGCATTAATGATAATACAGAAATTATAATGGTGAAGTTGTACATAAAAATAACCCAAATATTTGAGAAATTTAGATGAAATTTTTACAATAGTACCAATAGTTTTTTCAAGAACTTAACTGGGGTAAAGAATTGCTTCTTCCCCAAAACTTAGTAATTCAAGTGACAGAGTGTTGAACATGGTAGAAAAATAAAACATTTTAAGAGGGGCTATCCACTGTAACGTAAACTAAAACCTACTAATTACCGTCTTCTTACCAGAAATAAGCATCAAGTCTTCTTGGCATTACCACAACTTAGAGCAGAGTATAAACACTTAACATTAAGAAAAATAGCTCTGTATTATTTCCTTCAACTACTATATACTTACTTATCTCTGTCTGTTTTATAGATCCGTGCAATCTCTGGCACTAGGGGGTCATCTGGGTTTGGATCACATAGCAGTGAACAAATGGATAAAAGAACTACAAGAAAACAAATGTTGTAACTCAGCATCAGGAATTTGAATAAAGAAAAGTTTATTTGGAAACACTATTATATCCACTTAAATCAATGGATCGACCATCCAGACAGAAAATCATTAAGAAAACAATGGCCTGAAATGTCAACAAATCGGTATTTAAGAACAGTTTATGCAAAAACTACAGAATACACATTTTAAGTGCACACAGAATATTCCTAACAGATACATTTTAGGCCACAAAACAAAGCTCAATAAATTCAAGACTGAAATTTTATGAAGCATCTTTTCTGACCACAACAGTATGAAACTAAAAAACATGTATTATAAACCTTGATCATCAAAAGATTTTTATTAGTTTTTATCTTAATCTCAGTGAAACAAATATTAAAAACCTAATTTATGTGTACCTAAGGAATGCTAAGCCAATACCAAATACGAAAAATTACTGAAGGCAGACTTCCTTCCCATTAAGTAATTTTGTGGTAGGTGATTTTATCTGTGGGGTAAAAATGACATAAAAGGTACCGGAGTCATTCAAAAAGGCGATAAAGATGGAGATATAAACCATCTCCATCTGGGATATTCACATGGAGACTGGACAACCTATTAAGATGACACATAATACAATAAACCCCTATTAAAAATAGAAGAGCAGAATTAATCTAGAGATTTCCAAGAGGATTGTCTAATTTTTAATACTATTATTAAGTAGGGACAACCTACCATGTTCACAATACTTTTTTTAAACTAAAGGTTTTTTCAAAATGTCTTCTATAAAAAAACAGAGAGAGAGAGAGAGAGAGAGAGAGAGAGAGAGAAACAAAACCAAAATTGGCCTGCAATGGAAATCTCAAGATATAAAGGTGCCATTAAATTTAGGTATACCGTTTTAGTTAAGACAACAAGTAAGTGAGATGTGCAAGTGGTTTGAGGTGGAAAAATACTACAGGAAATCAGTGAAAATAAACTTTGCTTTTATTATTTGGTAGTATCTGCAAATAATGCCCCAACACCCTAATTTGAATTTTAACAACTTCCCATAAAATCTCTTCAATCAATACTGCTAAAAAAAAAGCAAAGGTGATGTAACTTACTCCTTCCCTACCTCCTACCAAAAAGTTGAAATAATAAAGACTCAGACAAATAGGCCCAAAATTGAAATTCCTTTAAGCTATTAGAAAATCAGAGCAGTTCAAGACTATTCCTCTAAAAATATTTTACCTTTAGAAATAGTTAAAGCAGGAGACCACTGTGATCTTAGAATATCAAGACAAATGCTGCCATTACTGTTAATATTTGGATGATAAATTCTTGTTGTAAATGCAACCTAAAATAAAAAACAGAACAAACAACCTTTAGGTATGTCTCCCAAATAAAAATAAGCACCCTAAACTTAAAGATTTTTAGTGAGACTTAAAATATTGTCACAACTGAAGAAAATCAAAATGGCTAAAACCTAATTTATATACATAAAAAGACCAGAAATTATAGAAACTGGTTTTTAAATTCTGACCAAGATTTATTAATCTTGGGGCTCCCTCTTTTTAAGATTAAAATGAAAAATGTAACTTTGAGGCAAAAATGTTATTTCTCAATGGCATGGTAGCATGTCCTCAAGGTTTATTTTAACATTCATTTAAAAAGGAACTGTTGATTGTAAACCAAAATTTACAGACCAGCTCATTTAAGATATATCAAATTACAAAGGTATGTATGTTTGTATTTCCACTATACATAAAAAAGTGTATACCTCTGAGTATCACATCTAAAGTAAATGTCACAAGATGACAATTACAGTTAAGAATCAATGTCCTACATGTACATTATCTCCTAGAGTTATTCATATAGGTTGAATTTGTGCCAACTGCTTTGAAAAGTCCAGGACCATGTTTCTGATAGCCAGCCTGTAAACCACTCCACTTCAATGCATTTAGAAATCTATGCTTTCATTGATTTGTTCAGTTATGTATGCAAACTCAAGTCCCAAAATGATTACCAACACAACCACAGTGTAAGTTGTAGCAATACATGTAAATGAATACTGAAGTTGAGCACTAGAAATCTTACAAAATACTAGGGTTAATAATCCAAATCTGTATAAACATAATAATAAAGGGGGAAAAAATTCTACATAGTCTCTTTAAGCTTTGCAACATTAAAAATAAGGCAATTCTTATCTCCACTTGCAAAGTTCAAAGCCAGGTCTAGATGCTTTTTAACTAAAGGTTAAGAGTAAGAATTCTATTTCAGTGACTCAATTCAATATATATTCAGCTTCAATTATTCTTATCCATTCTATGCACATACACCAATTTAGCCTTAATTATGCAGAACCTTCATTTCTTTTTTTCCTTTATTGAAATATTGGGATGTCAGTGGTTAAAAAATTACACAGATTTCAGGTATACAATTCTGTAATATATCACCTGTACACTGTATTGTGTTCACCACCCCAAGCTGAGTCTCCTTCCATCACCATTTATCCCATCACACCCAATACCCTCTTCTTACTTCCCCTCTGGTTATCACCATACTCTTGTCTGTGTCTGTAAGTACCCCCCCCCCCCCCCCACCAATTCTTTTCACCTTGTCCACCCAACCCCTCAACTCAACAACTCTGACAGCTGTCCGTCTGTTCTCCATTTCTAAGAATGCTATATTCCTCTGAAATAAAGCATAAATCTTTACTAACAGATTTTGGGAGAAAATACTTGCCTTAGGTGGTTTGAAGGGGTAGTCTGTAGGAAAGTGAATTGTCAAAAAGAATACACCGCCTTGATATGGGCTGTCGTTCTGTGAAAAGGAAAATATACTTAACTGATACTTAAAATATTATTGCTAAATAACCCATATATAACAATTCTATTTTCTAAGTATTTCTCTTAATATGAGTCACCTATCATTTACACTGCAATAAAGGCTAAATTATCTAAAATTCAGCTCATATTTAATGGAAAAACAATCAGTATTTATTATAAACAATGAACCCTAAATTACTTAGATCCCATTTTACGTATTATCGCCATAAGTAATTTAAAAATTATCCAGGAACACAAGTGTTCTAGGTCTTTATTCTCCTAAAAGAAGAGTATTCTTAGCAATAAAGTCAACATAACAACTTAAAACTCTAATTTGAAAATAAATTCTTACATTTGTAGAATGATAGCCATATATACACAAGTGGCTTTGTACCATTCTGGCCACTAGCAAACTAAAATGTTAGCTATCATAGTAACATACAGCTATCTTCAATAGAAGCAAAACAGAAACAGGTTATTTTAAAGTACAGTTTAATTCTCAACTGGCCTTCAAATCCCTAATTTAAAACCATGAAAGTTCTTTCTTCAAAAGTATATGGAATTCTCCACAGCAAATCAATACACAGGATTACTAGATTTGGAAAACAGTATAGAATGTTCGTTTTTCCATTTTAACAGAAAAAAAAAACTTCAAGATACAGCAATATTCTTTTTCCTTTGCTTTTTTGATTATAATTTGATTATGAAGAACTCCCTTAGCAAATAAATATTACATACAATTTGAGTATGAAGCAACATTTGGGTGAAATTATTTGCTATGATTTTACATTAACTTAACCTATACCAAGAAAGATAACACTGTCCCCATTTTATTGATGAATAAAATGGGACTTAAGTAATTTAGTCAAGTGAACAAATGGTCTATCACAGAGCCAAGATTCAAACCCAGGTATTATGAAAATCACTGATCAATACCAATCAAAGAGTAATGACAGAAGTTAAGGTGAAAGAATATATGAAATTGTTTTATTACCCCTGGACAGGCAAGGACGTATTTTAAAATTTAGCGACTGAATTATTACCAACATCCACCCCACTCCATTAGAGTATGCATATAGTACTTAGAGGAGTTTTTCACTATGCCCTTTCTGGGTGTTAGGCATATAAAAACTTTCACAGTTCTGACACTTTAACATAGTTCACTGAACCCCCAGACCTCTGTAAAATAAATACTACTCAAATTAATCTAACTCTCTTCTATGTACCAGGTGTATATAATGGTATATAAATTTTTCACACAGAAAAATTTCTTCATCTTGATAGGTTTACAGTCTAGTAAAGAGATATAAAATGAAATGTTACAGATATGAAAATGACAAAGGTATATATTCAAAGAAGGTCAAGTTACTGATGATGAATCACATTCAAAGAAACATACATACGATAAGGAAATAAAAGAATTACAATCTAAACTTAGTTCTTCCTACACCAAACTCCCTCCTTTTCGTACTGTCTACAAAATTTTAATTAAAAAAACTAAGATTGCAAAACAGCATCTGAGAAATATTGGGGGGGGGGGGGAGGATCAATATAAGACACCAGAAACTAAAATTAATTTATTAGATTCACACATCTTTGTTAATACAGCTACACTTACTAGGAATAAATGCTTCACACAGCAAACATTTTTATAAGGTAATACTGAAAAATATGTGTCTATACTGCATACAATTAACAATTTAAAAATAATCCTAATTTTTTAAATAAAACCCAAGTCCAAAAACTTTCATTCCAAGTTTCATACAGTCAAGTGCTATAATATCTGACTGCTTCTGAATAAAAGCAATCTAATGATGAGATTTAGGCAAAGCCAAATTTCACTTCATTTCAGTTTAAAAAATAAGAATTTATAAGATGAAAATAGTTCAAGGTTACAATTTAACACTAAAGTTCCACCAAATCAAAAAGGAATAACTGGTAAAACCACAAGGTCCAGAGGTAATTAAACTATGCCATCTAACACAGTTTCAGTTATCCACAGTCTTAAAATATCAAATGGAAAATTCAAGACATAACCAATTTCACGGGTTTTAAATTGCCTGCATTCTCAGTGTGCTTTCCCACTCGATCCCACACCAGACATGACTCATCCCTCTGTCCAGCATACCTAGGCTGTATGTGCTCCATGTCCATTATTCCGCTGGTGTCAGATACTGTCACAGTATCACAGCACTTGTGTTCAAGTAACTCTTATTTTACTTAATAATGACCCTAAGGGGCAAAAGTAGGAATGCTGGCAATTTGGGCAGGCCAAAGAAAAGCCAAAAAAAAAAAAGAGGTACTTTTACATAAAAAGGTAAATAGAGTACAGTAAGATATTTTTGAGAAAGTCCACATTCACGTGACTTTTTTAGGCTATACTGTTGTAATTGCTCTATTGTTAATTGTTCTTTATTATGAACTTTATCATAGATACGTATGTATAGAAAAAACATAGTGTGTGTATATATACATATATACCATCTGGCACTAACCATGCCCTCAGGCGTCCACTGGGGGGTCTTTCTTGGAAGATATCCTCCCATGGAAAAGAGAGGACTACTTTTATCGTTTGTCTACCATGAAGGTGATGAGTTGCTACTGGTATTCCTGCCTTCACTCCGGATTTCCCCACTCATTTATCCCACACCCTACTGCTTAAGTGGTTGTTAAGATAAGAAGTTACTCCCCTGCTTGAAATCTAGCACAGCTTTCAAGATAAAGTTCAAACTCCTAAGCACTCTAGGGGCTTTATGATCTGGCTCCCACTAATTAGTCTCCTTTTCCTCCAAAATATTCTATCACTGATGCACATTAGTTATGTTTCGCATCTCCTTTTTTCTACTACTTGAAATGTTCTTTGTCTGCAAGACCATAGGTAAATACAGCCTTCCTGTCAGTCCAACCTGCTGGCTGCCCTTCTCTTACATCTCCGTTATCTACACATTTTACTACACATTAACTTATTTACTTTCTTCGCTCTCTTCCACTAGACTACAAAACTTCTTAAAGAGTAAGATACTTAAGGAAAGTTTTTATGTATCATTAGACTTCGCAGGAAATAACATAATACACTTAACGTAAATGGAAAAAAATCTTATAGACCAATAAAGTACCAATGAAGCAATTATTTTATTTCAGATGGTTTTTGTAGCTGATACTGCTCAGGGTGTCAAAGGTTACATTATTCACAGTTATGGTATAGGCATACCTCATTTTACTTTAAAAAAAACCAAACAAAAAAAAAACAAAACAAATTGAAGCCAAGACCTCTTACCAGCAGAAACATTACAACTCACTTTATTGTGATTTCAGCGTTATTAAGGTGGTCTGGAACTGAACCCACAATGTCTTTGAGGTATGCCTGTACTTTCTTCTATGGCTATATCATAGAAGTCAGTGTGGTTCTCCAAATAATTTCAAAATATTTCTTTCTGCCAGATTCATTTCCATTTAAAGAAAAATCAAGCATGTAAATATTAGAAACAATAGGTAAGAGATTTCATTTCTCTTCAATACATCAACTCTTAATAGAAATTGCCCTTAATATAGTACTGAAAAGCCAACTAAAGTTTAATAACCACTTAACCAGCAATGCTCTGTCAATTCTTTCAAAGGTTTAGTTTTTATGAGTATTTGTGCTTCCAAAGTATCTTACTTTTAGAAAGAATAAGCGAGCACATGTAATTATTAAAACCAAGCATTTTTGCCTAACTTTTAATAACCAAGAGCATTCTCTGACTATATAATTCACTAAAATTCCATAGTTTCTCTTACGAAAACTTAAATTAGATGCTCTATTCCTTAGAAGTCAGGAATCTTTAGTTCTGTGGCACTGTCATCACGCTCACTGACCTAAGAAATACTCCAAAGCAAAAACAATTTTGTTACCATTTGTTCTCCCAGCAAATCTGCAATTATGGGTTATTACCCCACTGGCTCTGTTGTTTTGGGTCACATCTGCATCCCACATAGGGTAGCACACTAACAAAATAAAGTCATATTTACCTAAACAAACTGTAATGTTTAACACAAAGACGTGATTAAAAGCCAAAATAACAATATGAGATGTTTCAATGACTACACAGTAAGGATAATCATTACTATTTACAAGTCGGCATCTAAAATTAGGTGCTTTCTTATAAAGAGCACAAGATCGGTATTTTGGATGAGTTTTTAGACCTCTGAATCCTCCTTGAAATTATAAAGTAAGAATTAACCTCCCTAGAAAATAAGTACATTTCAAGGAATAACAAAGCCAGAGCAAAAATGCAGTTGTGGCACAAAAATAAATAAATAAATGAATGAATAAATTTATTCAAAGATTTCCTATTTTTAGAGAAGGGAAGAAAAAAAGGGAGAGAAACATCAATGTGTGGTTGCATTTCGCATGCCTCCTATTGGGTACCTGGCCTGCAACCCAGGCAAGTGCCCTATACAGTGGGAATTGAACTGGCGACCCTTTGGTTCGCAGGGGGCGCTCAATCCACTGAGCCACACCAGCCAGGGCTAAAATGTATTTTTTGTTTTTTTTAATCAGGGAATGTTTAAATAGTTCTGAAAACCAAATTATTTGTTTTTAAGAGAAAACTGCTAGTCATTAATATATATTGAAAGGTTGCTGAAAAAATTAGCAAGAAATAGCCATAATCTGAAATTAAAAATACTTTCTGAAAAATAAAAGCAAATTAAGTTGACAGGTAAAAAATTGTTACGATAAGCAATTTTTTATTTTCTCTTCTCTGGAAAATCACTAGCATAAACTACTCATTTGTGCTTCATTTTCATTTTACTGTGGGTATGTACCTTACAACAGTTCAATACAGTGAGGCCTCAGAAATCAGGCAGAAAAACATCACGCTGGTTTTTAAGAGTTGGTTTATTATGCACACCATCCAATTAGAAGTCTTTATTACCAACTCTATTGTGTATTAGTACTGACAACTAATTATAGCACCCACTAGATCAAAAAATGAGCTTTATTTGTACAAATATAATAAGGCATTTTATTGAATTCTTTGCCTTGAAAATTAGTGATCTATAATGGAAAAATTCTAGAAGATGCAATTTTATGTGCCTACAGATTCTGTGTAGGCAAAATGAAGCAGATCTGGTAGAAACTATGACAGGCAAGCCCCATCTCAAAAAAGGGAAGCTGCTGCTACTCTATCCCAAGCTATTACTGCTTGTGGGAATGAGGATCTAGTTAGAGTTGTTTTGTTTTTTTTTTTTAAATAAAAAGATTGCCAAATTTTAATACACCTCATGGACCAAGGTGGGTAAAGCCACTAGTGAATTATGTGTTATTAAAAAAACTTTTTTAACAAATTAGACAAAAAGCACTTTAAAATAAAATTTCAAGCAATAAAAATAGTCCTTGAGATTGGAAATGAATAATCCTGACTTTGTAGTTTTTATTAGAATCCACATGTATTTCACATTATTAAACTAAATATACCACTTCCTCTCCTAATTGTGATTTAATCGGCTTCATAATCTCCCTACCTCTAGGTCATAACATTTCATAATCACGCTAACTCAGTCATCCCTGCTCGCTTCCCATAAATTTCTTCTATTAAGCATTGTATTCACGTTACTTATTTCCCATTTTTTAATTGTCTTGTCTCCCAGTAGATTTTAAGTTTCCTAATGATTGAGGGTTCATGTCAATTACGCTCATTAGTATCCTTAATGGCTGCACACAGCGGCTCACATTAGTGCAGATAGAAAAAAAGATTAAAAATTTCAAAAGCAGAACTGCTAAACAAACACCTGCTGATCCAACCCATCTACTGGCCAACTTTTCCAAGGGTATTTCTTCTTTTAGAATTATAAACATCTACTTATTGACCATTATCTCACCTAATACATTATTGTCATTTATGTTGAGATTAAACCATCAAAAAAGAAAGCAGGAAATTCAGTAAGACACACATATAATTTAGCATAGAAATCTGAAAGTGCCTTCTAAGTCAAAAAAAAAGTTAAGTATTGTGCAAGATACAGTCTTACCCCAGGATGTTTTACTGCGTTCTAATTCTGTGAAATTCTTAGATGGTATCCATAATTCTGAATATTCAATTATCCAGCATATACAGTTTCTTATCTACCCAGGATAGAAAGGAATTTTGCTGTATTCAAAATATCACTTTCTACCTAAAGATACTCAAATTTTGTATAAAACTAAAGTTCCAGGGGGGGAAAAAATATCAAGTATCAGAATAATACCATTAAGGCTAGATTTGGGGCAATTACCCAAAAAGAGTAGGATCTTTGAATTAACACCATGGTAGAGCTAGTAAATTAACTGGCTACATAAATAATAGGAGGCTCTGTGACAATGCTTTATATTGCTATGAAGGAAAACTAGATTGATGTGGAGATATATGGTAGGTAAGAGATGCTATACTCTAGAAAATAGGGATATAACAAATGAGTAATTCATTAAATTACTCTTTCTTTCCAAAGTATAACTATGGCATATCCAAAACAGAATTATGCTATAATAAAAGAAACCTAAACACTAAATTAAAAATTACAACTACATAGATGCTGAATTTTCAATTAAAAGCAAAAAACTTTAAATTCTTAATACTTACAGGTCCCATAATTGTGGCTTGCCAATGAAACACTAAAAAAAGAGAAAAACTCTTATTATCTTAAAATGTACAAGCTTTTATGAAATTAGCCATAAAAATCAACTTGAAAGTTACTTACTATCATCCCCAACTGGACCTGCAGAACATTGTGCTGGAGGGTCACGGGCCAAATCACTAAGTTCCTACACCAAGGCAGAAAACGGTAAGTAAAGACAGTCGGCTTCCAGTTCATTTTCACCTCATTCTATTAGGGATATTCAACTATTCACATAAATAATACATTCTATTTGAAGAAGAAAATAATTTAGGTAAACCTACCCCAGATCCTGGGATATGCTAGGTATAGTTATTTACCCAAGACAATCTTGGCTAGGGTTCACAAAGTGCACATATATATGTGTATATATATATGCATATGTATATGAAAATTTTTATTACATGAGCAAGAGCTATCCTCTTACAAATTAAAAAAATTATAATCAGATATTTTCATAGCTTAAAAACCTACGTAAGGCAGTTCTCAAGGTCCTTATCATTTGCTCTGTTTTCAGACCATTTGAGAGGCCCTCATTTTCCACTTGGAAAATTTCTCACAGCTAGCTAGGTACACTTTTTGGTTTGATATAATTTGCTCAACTCAACCTTGTCTTTTACCCAATACCGAGTAATAAAAATTACAACTCTAGAAGTATCTATCTCTTTAGGTAGAATTCTTCTCTTAGCAACTAATGCAGTTTCCACAATGTCATCTGACCTTGTATTTACAAAAAATATGTACTTAGTCCTTCCATGACTTGTGTATAACAAACACTGATTAATAAGAAAACACACTTGTTTATTAGGGTTTTAAAAGAACATTTAAGATAATATAGCTACATTTCTATATATAAATCCTATAGAAATTTATAGACCCACAAGATAGTAATGGGCTTCTAAGAATATTCAGGGACTATACAACACTGCAGGAAAATAACTAGAGCAAATATTTGCTTTTATCATACGGTATGATCAAAATGCACTGAAGGGCCAATTGTTCTGGAATGATCAGTCTGGATTCACTCCATTAAAACAAAAATCCACGAAGAACAGTTCTTGTGGTTATTTCACAACATACACAGATCAAATTATGTGTACATCAAAAACTAACGTTATACGTCAATTTTATCTCAAGAAAACTGGAAAAAAACTGTCCTGATAATTTGCCTCTGAAAATCGTACCACAACTGCTTATAAAGGTTACCAATATAGCCAGAGATCCCAGGATTCACAATGTTAGGGTGATGTAAGTTCTGATCAGACCTATATACTTACCTACATAAATATACCCTCCTATGTTTAACATATTTAAGAATGGGAGAAAATTTATACCACATAGTTTTGATTCTGATCAGTAGTGATTACAAGAACTCCTATCTCAGAATTAAACAATGGATTAAAAGAAACCATGTATGCTTCAGTTAAAAAAACTTACAAAATAGTAACTGATTCTGAAATATGTATTTGAAAAGTACTTTTTCTGAGTTTAAAAAAAAAGTGTACTGGCAACTTGACTTAATCAACTATCCATTACTGAGCAAACGACCTTTTCCACAGGCTAGATCAAGTCTTATACAACAATTATTTGCATTCTATGATCAGCCACCTCTTTATAATGGCAATCTACTTTAACACCCTCTTACAGTCTTACATGAACATCGAGTTTTCCTGTGTTCCAAAACTTATACAGCAAGGTTTATGGTGTAACTAGCCCACCAAAAACAGAAACCAGAACCTAGCTAATGCAGCCTAATTCCCTCTTTCCCTAAGGAATGTAAGGATCCAAAAAAGTTTAAGGTTAAAAACTTACCTGATTCCAAACCACCCCTTTCGCTCTTTCCCACAAAAGATGTGAATTTTCAAAAATGATACTAAAACTCAAATACATACATATGCAGTTCAAATGCTCAAACACAGCACCGTGAAATAAGGACATTGAGTTATGTCCTTCTTGAATGCCATAACACTTTGAAGTCCCACTTTTAATCCAATTTAGACCCACTATTTCCTAGGCTTATTTCATCATTTCCAAAAATGTCTATTTGCACAGAAGTCTTGAGAAAATGAATGATTTAAAGCAGTTTGGCACATAACCTGGCATATGATGTACTACTAGGTATTAAACAATGAGACCACTCGCACACCACCCATCCCTAAGACAAGATTTTCCGGGTAAACACACAAATCACTTGTTTAGTAAACTCAAAATTGCTTCATAAAGAGGCTACATATTAAAGCCTCAACCCACATAAATCTCTGCATGTGTGATTTATCTTTATGCTTAGCTGTATATGATGCAGTCATCTTAGCAATTATACTGCCATAATGTTACACATTAACAACATAAGGTCGGCAATTCAAGGAGTATTTGTTGATGGCATTTTAAAGAAACCTTGTTATTAACTTGAGTCGTACAAAATTACTAATATTTGGCCATATTTGAACTACAAAAACTACAATTTCACGTGGTTCTATCTAAAAATGTACAGTAAGCACTTGAATTCAGTTATTACTAAAGTGAGTTTCTTACACTCATTTACCCCAAATTATGTACTGAATATAATAAATGGATTTGCTAATAATGCCTGAAGAAAATACCCAGCAGTTATTTTATATAAAAAAACAATTTAATGATGGCTAGTGTAACAAAACACCCTATAGTGATATTTAAACAACTTTGTTACAAATAAAAGTTCAGTAATATGTAAAGCTGACCTAGAATACTACATCAATATCCTACTTGAAAGTTACATTTTAATTATGAAGATTAAAAAATATTTCTTATACAGTTATGCATACTGATATTTATAAACCTTTATATGTTGGCATTTAGAGTAAAGGTATAATTTCAGATACTTAAGCACTGATTTTCAACTCTTTACTCCTGTAACTGCAGGCTCTTTATCGCTCAGATAATTTCTAAATGCCTTATTTTGCATGACCAAGTCATCTCTGAAGTAACACTCAAAGATTTAAATAAAAATCAGGCCAGTTAATTTATGTACTAAAATCTACTCTAAATTCAACATTGAAAAGTGACCTAAATAAAGTTATTTTAAGGATCAAAACAGGTTTTTTTAATCAGGTATCAGCCAGCACTCAACTCTAAGATAACAAACAACTGTCATGATATCATTATGCCCATAGTGCAAGAAAACAAGATGCGATCTGTCAGCCATCAAAAAACAATTTATTCAGGGCTAATCACAGAATTTGTTCCTTCAGTCTCAGTGATTAGCTCAAAGAGTTGGAAAATATTCAAGGAGTAATATTCAAAGCCAAGACTTGGCTTTATCAGCTTGTCTATTATACCTGCCCAAGATTTTTCAAATTAAAGCTAGAAAGAACACTTCCCTCTCTAATTAGGACCTATAAGGATGTGACCTAGAGCTGTTGGCAGGCACATGACATGACCTGAAATTACACAGTAAATTTTAAAAACACACACACACAGACACACACAGACATACACGCCACACTGGGTGACAGAACAAAATGCTGGTTTGACATATAGATCAGGAATTTCAGGCCCTGAGATTATAGCTTGCTCTGGTTGGTTCCTAGGGCTACTGCCTGTCTAGTGAAGAGTTAACTTTCCATCTATTCACAGAAACTATATGTTAATTTAAATCCATTTCTAAAATCAAAAGTGTAATACTAGCTATTAGCTGAAGGTTCACCGTCAAAACATTTACTCATTTATATGAGACTATCTTTTTGGTGTCGAGCATGTTAGGTCTGAAAAACAGAGATAAAAAAACTGAATACCTCCCCCAACAGACTGAGCTAATATAAAGTAGGCACAATGCAAAAACAAAAAAAAAAATTACATTTCAACAACCTAAGTGTTTAAAATAAAGGCATTCAAATACATCCTGAATCCTGAAAAGCTACCACTAACCTTGCCTCTACAGAAAGCAGTGATATTTGAGCTGTGTTCTGATGGAGAGATTAGCATTCTTAGTAAAAAAAAAAAAAAAAAGTCATTCAAAGTCAGGAGTGTGAAAGAGCACAGGTTGTAAAATTTGCTAGTAGTTTGGTATACCAGAGACAAAAGAGGGTACCGTAAGGGAGTGCAGTTGTGCCCAGAAGTTAATCAGGGCTGGATCTTTTCAGAACCTTGAATATTAGGTCTAAGACTATCCCAAAGACAATGGGAAGTCACTGACAGTTTTTAGGCATAAGAAAAATAAGAGTTTGGTTTTTTAATGTAGCCACTAGTGTAGCACACCAGAATTGATTCTTACAATTTTTAAAATTAAGTCATATCTTAAAAGTACCCATGTGTCTCAGTATCCAGCTTATTAAGTAAAGCTTACCATTTTACTATACTTCCTTCAAATTTAAGAAATGCTCCAGATATAACTGAAGATCTCTCCTGTACTCCCCAGATTGTTTCCTTTCCCCAAGAGGTAACAGTATCCCAAATTTGGTTTCTTCCATCTTTCCCCATTTTCATACACTACTACTAAGTATGTCTCTCTTAAGACCATATAGCACTGTTTTGCAGGTTTTCAGATTTTGTAACATAAAACTATACATATTCAGAACATTGGTTCTTAATCCTATCTATAACAAGGGTTTCTAAGAATCTGCTGAAGTGTTGACCCACAATCCCCTAAAATGCACATGCCCAGACAAAACATTTAAATTTGTGTGGTATCACAGACCTTCCTCACCATCATGTTTATAAGTATCCCTACTGTAATATATAGTATTATATAACTAATACAGATGAGTAGGAAACCACATTAGGAAGCTACAGCAGTAATTCGGTTGAGAGAACATTAACTGAATTCCTGGGGATGAAACATGGTATCAAATACAAAGCATTTTACCCTTAAACCACCTTGCAAAAATAGGCCGTATTTCCACTAGGAAAAAGAAAACATTGTGGTCAAGTATAGGGCATGCTAAGCTTCAATATGGGGAGGAGAGCAAAATAGTTTAACTACTAGACAACTTGAAAAACAGGTCTAAAGACAGGTTACAAAAAGGCTGTTTTCTCAAGAGTGTCCTTGCATCAAAAGATGTATTTAAGTTAAAGAAACTGATACAGCATTTGGCAAACTGACCCAACGCTCCATTCTACTTAAGAAATAAATGCCTCAGACTGAGCAAGATACGGAAAACTGGCATTTTCTTA